AAAAAAACTGAGTCTTCTTTGTGTTTAGGTTTGTCTTGGGGTTTTTTAAGTTCATCTGTTTGCAAATAAGTTTGGCTTAGCTTCAGGTTACTTCTTTTTCAGTACAGAGAAGGACATAATTACAGTTTTAATCTCTACTTGTATGTAGTTCCAAAAATGATTTTATCTTTATTTTCTGTCTACTGGGAAACAATTTTGATTGAAAATACAGTTTCTTAATGTAGAAGGCCATTAACACTTATGGAGTTGGAAAAAGCTGAGTGAGTTCGTGATGAGAAAGATTAACTAAGCAGTTTGCATCTCCACTGGAAGTGGTATACTCTATGTACAAAAGGGAAACAATTTTTAAAAACCTCCTTTTCTAAAGGACTGTGCTTTCCACAGGACAGAGTGTATTAGTGTTAATGCTTGGTAAAAGTGCAAGATTTTAATGAGAGCAGTAGCAGTGGGAGATCCGTAACCAAAGGCATATATGTAGAATGTAGTGGGACAGCAGTAGTGATTTTGTTACTTCAGTGTTTTGCTTTCTGCTAGCTTCACTAAACCCTGTGTTTCCTCCTTCCATTTGACTTTTCCTTTTGTATTCTTAAGACACCCAGCATTTGTTTATCTGACTTTTTATTACCAGTGTTTCTGTTTTAATAGGCTTTAGTTATAATGACTTAAAAAAAATTATCCTGTCCTGAAAGATCCAAATGGCACCTTCTGAATGGTGTGAATCATCCTTCTCTCTGATTCATTCTGCCACAACAGTAAAACAAAATAAATAAGCAATTCTGAATGGCAGAATAGATGTAGCTTAGCTTATTTACTGTTTGTCCTGGGGCAAGGACCTCTATTTTCATGAACCTTCAAGTTAAAACCTGGCTCTTGGCCTATTTTTGTCTGTAAAATTCAAGCGCAGTTGTTTAAGTAGTAAATACACAGGCTTGGTCAGAGACTGGTGATTAGGGCTTTTTCTGGTTATGTGTAAGTACTTTTCAATGACCATTAATATACTAGTAAGTAGAAAGATGAGGCACCTCTTTACTGAGTTAGCAGAACTTAAATAGCCTGCAGTACACACTAAATATCTGATGAGCTATTTAAGTGCAGACCTGATAGGAAAGAGAGACAATGCAGGGTGCAGGCTCTGAATGACATCTGCTTACTGATGAGTACAGATTCCATTGTTATGAAGAATATACTTTTTATGTCTTTTTATGCTTCTGTAGCCTCTAAGTGCTAGGACAGGAGGGATATGTCTTATTTTCTTCATGTTACTCTCTTTTCCGATATTGGTTTTGCAAGGATTTTAGAATTTGTATCTTTTAATGCTGCTAAAACATAACTGAGCAGCAGTTCTTTTAGGGGTTGGGGAACCCAATAAATAGGGAATTACTTACAGGTGTTTAATGCTATTTTAGTGCAGTCTTCAGTAAGTCCTTCCTAATGCTAGCTGCAAACCAGAGCTAAAGTGTGGATTGTAATTCACTCATCTGGAGGTGGGTTTTGTTTTTGTTTTGGTTTTTTTTTTGCACTCGCATAGAGCGAAGACAGTCCTAGTCCCAAGCGACAACGTCTTTCCCATTCCGTCTTTGACTATACTGCAGCATCACCAGCCCCATCGCCACCAATGCGACCATGGGAGATGACATCAAGTAGGCAGCCTTCTGTGGCTCGACCCAGCCAACACCACTTCTCAGGGGAACGATGCAACACACCTGCACGAAACAGGAGGAGGTAAGCAAGCTTACTTACACAGATGCAATTTCTCGTTCTTCCTGATTTCAGCTCGAGGAAGGTGTTTTTCAGGCAGCACTGACTAGAGCACATGTGGTTAACATGTTAACATTTCCTTTGAGCTGCAAGTGATTATAGTGGTTAACTGAAAAGTTACTGAAAGTAATTAAGGTTGGTACATTGTCCCATGATTTATAAGAATAGACAACCTGGGGAAGGGGTGCTCATTAACATTTTAAGAGCTAGATTCTTTTTCACTCTGCACTGGAGCAATAAGCATTTAGGAGAATGCTAGGAAAACTCATCATGGTACTTCTAAAGATATTAAGAGTTACTGATGCAGTACTGTAATTTTCACTGCAGTAATGACTACTTTTGTACATAAAACCAATCTAAATAAAGATGGAGGATACTGTCTGGGGAGAGTGAAGAGGTTGTGTTTTGAGTGGTTGCTAAGGTGTGTGATTCACATGTGATTCACATGTGATTTTCATGGTTTCTTCACTTGTGGCTCATTAATGTCTCTTTGGAATAAGTTCTCATAGTCATGGAAGAGTAGATATTTGAATGGCCAGGATGGGTGATAGAATAGGAAACCATAAAACCATAGACTTCATAACTATGCTAGTTAAACTACTTACCCAAACCACAAACTTTCTTTGCCTTATATTCTCCTTGAAAAATGCTGAGTCATCTAATGTAAATTAACTTCAGTAACAGTCCTGAGGAGAAGGACTTGGGGGTGATGGTGGACGAGAAGCTCAACATCAGCAAGGGCACCTTGTATGAGAAGAGGCTGAGGGAACTGGGGTTGAAAAAGAGAAGGCTCAGGGGAGGTCTTAGTGCTCTCTACAGCTACCTGAAGGGAGGTTGTAGGGAGGCTGGTGTTGTTCACTTCTCCAAAGTAACTATTGATAGGACAAAAGGAAATGGGTTTAAGTTGTGCCAGGGAGGTTTGGGTTGGATATAAGGAAAAGTTTCTTCACAGAGTTGTGAGGCATCAGAATGGGCTGCCCAGGGAGGTGGTGGAGTCAGCATCCCTGGATGTGTTCAAGAAATGTTTGGATGTGGCACTTCAGGATATAGTTTAGTGGTTGTTGTACTTGGATTAAGGTTGAACTCGATGATCTTTGAAGGTCTCTTCCAACCTTAATGATTCTCTGATAATTAGACTGGAAGAGGAGAATGGAAAAGAAATACATCAAAGGATGTTGTTTTGATGACAATATCTAGTCTTTCCCAAATTAAATAAGACAGCATTAAGACAAATGTATAAAAAAAATACTACAAAAAACATATACAGATGTATAACAAAAAAAGTTATGTATTTTTTAAATCCTTTAAAGGATGTTTTACAAATAAGCACAGTTCAATCACCGTGATTCTATGAGAGTTTATAGGGTACATAGATGAGAATGGGCAGAACTACGGGGGATGTCTGAAATGCTGACTTTGAGGGATGAGGTTGTAGGTTTTAGTGTCCTGATTTAAGTTCCATCTTTTGCTAGTAACAATCTGATGCCTTTGTACTGATACTATTGCCTGTAAGTATGGAGTGATCTGTATTTATGTTAATCGTGCTCTTTTTGTTGAATTAACTCCACATGCTAATTGAAAATTACATGAAAACCTTAAATTTTACAGGATACATGCCTGTCATTAGCTCCTTGTAGTTTTCCCACATGCTAGTATTACCTTTCTACAATCATCACATGAAAATGGGTTTCCTAAGAGAAACTGAGATAAAAAAACTGAGTCTTCTTTGTGTTTAGGTTTGTCTTGGGGTTTTTTAAGTTCATCTGTTTGCAAATAAGTTTGGCTTAGCTTCAGGTTACTTCTTTTTCAGTACAGAGAAGGACATAATTACAGTTTTAATCTCTACTTGTATGTAGTTCCAAAAATGATTTTATCTTTATTTTCTGTCTACTGGGAAACAATTTTGATTGAAAATACAGTTTCTTAATGTAGAAGGCCATTAACACTTATGGAGTTGGAAAAAGCTGAGTGAGTTCGTGATGAGAAAGATTAACTAAGCAGTTTGCATCTCCACTGGAAGTGGTATACTCTATGTACAAAAGGGAAACAATTTTTAAAAACCTCCTTTTCTAAAGGACTGTGCTTTCCACAGGACAGAGTGTATTAGTGTTAATGCTTGGTAAAAGTGCAAGATTTTAATGAGAGCAGTAGCAGTGGGAGATCCGTAACCAAAGGCATATATGTAGAATGTAGTGGGACAGCAGTAGTGATTTTGTTACTTCAGTGTTTTGCTTTCTGCTAGCTTCACTAAACCCTGTGTTTCCTCCTTCCATTTGACTTTTCCTTTTGTATTCTTAAGACACCCAGCATTTGTTTATCTGACTTTTTATTACCAGTGTTTCTGTTTTAATAGGCTTTAGTTATAATGACTTAAAAAAAATTATCCTGTCCTGAAAGATCCAAATGGCACCTTCTGAATGGTGTGAATCATCCTTCTCTCTGATTCATTCTGCCACAACAGTAAAACAAAATAAATAAGCAATTCTGAATGGCAGAATAGATGTAGCTTAGCTTATTTACTGTTTGTCCTGGGGCAAGGACCTCTATTTTCATGAACCTTCAAGTTAAAACCTGGCTCTTGGCCTATTTTTGTCTGTAAAATTCAAGCGCAGTTGTTTAAGTAGTAAATACACAGGCTTGGTCAGAGACTGGTGATTAGGGCTTTTTCTGGTTATGTGTAAGTACTTTTCAATGACCATTAATATACTAGTAAGTAGAAAGATGAGGCACCTCTTTACTGAGTTAGCAGAACTTAAATAGCCTGCAGTACACACTAAATATCTGATGAGCTATTTAAGTGCAGACCTGATAGGAAAGAGAGACAATGCAGGGTGCAGGCTCTGAATGACATCTGCTTACTGATGAGTACAGATTCCATTGTTATGAAGAATATACTTTTTATGTCTTTTTATGCTTCTGTAGCCTCTAAGTGCTAGGACAGGAGGGATATGTCTTATTTTCTTCATGTTACTCTCTTTTCCGATATTGGTTTTGCAAGGATTTTAGAATTTGTATCTTTTAATGCTGCTAAAACATAACTGAGCAGCAGTTCTTTTAGGGGTTGGGGAACCCAATAAATAGGGAATTACTTACAGGTGTTTAATGCTATTTTAGTGCAGTCTTCAGTAAGTCCTTCCTAATGCTAGCTGCAAACCAGAGCTAAAGTGTGGATTGTAATTCACTCATCTGGAGGTGGGTTTTGTTTTTGTTTTGGTTTTTTTTTTGCACTCGCATAGAGCGAAGACAGTCCTAGTCCCAAGCGACAACGTCTTTCCCATTCCGTCTTTGACTATACTGCAGCATCACCAGCCCCATCGCCACCAATGCGACCATGGGAGATGACATCAAGTAGGCAGCCTTCTGTGGCTCGACCCAGCCAACACCACTTCTCAGGGGAACGATGCAACACACCTGCACGAAACAGGAGGAGGTAAGCAAGCTTACTTACACAGATGCAATTTCTCGTTCTTCCTGATTTCAGCTCGAGGAAGGTGTTTTTCAGGCAGCACTGACTAGAGCACATGTGGTTAACATGTTAACATTTCCTTTGAGCTGCAAGTGATTATAGTGGTTAACTGAAAAGTTACTGAAAGTAATTAAGGTTGGTACATTGTCCCATGATTTATAAGAATAGACAACCTGGGGAAGGGGTGCTCATTAACATTTTAAGAGCTAGATTCTTTTTCACTCTGCACTGGAGCAATAAGCATTTAGGAGAATGCTAGGAAAACTCATCATGGTACTTCTAAAGATATTAAGAGTTACTGATGCAGTACTGTAATTTTCACTGCAGTAATGACTACTTTTGTACATAAAACCAATCTAAATAAAGATGGAGGATACTGTCTGGGGAGAGTGAAGAGGTTGTGTTTTGAGTGGTTGCTAAGGTGTGTGATTCACATGTGATTCACATGTGATTTTCATGGTTTCTTCACTTGTGGCTCATTAATGTCTCTTTGGAATAAGTTCTCATAGTCATGGAAGAGTAGATATTTGAATGGCCAGGATGGGTGATAGAATAGGAAACCATAAAACCATAGACTTCATAACTATGCTAGTTAAACTACTTACCCAAACCACAAACTTTCTTTGCCTTATATTCTCCTTGAAAAATGCTGAGTCATCTAATGTAAATTAACTTCAGTAACAGTCCTGAGGAGAAGGACTTGGGGGTGATGGTGGACGAGAAGCTCAACATCAGCTGGCAGTGTGTGCTTGCAGCCCAGAAAGCCAGCTGTGTCCTGGACTGCATCTGAACAAGCATAGCCATCTGGTTGAGGGAGGCAATTCTCCCCCTCTACTCTGCTCTTGTGAGACCCCACCTGGAGCATTGTGTCCACTGCTGGAGCCCCAGACATAAAAAGGACAGGGAGCTCCTGGAGAAAGTCCAGAGGAGGGCCACGAAGATGATCAAAGGGCACCTCTCCTATGAAGAGAGACAGGCTGAGACAGTTTGGGTTAGGGTTGCTAAACCTGGAGAAGAGGAGGCTCTGGGGAGACCTCATAGTTGCCTTCCAGTACCTGAAGGGGCTACAGAAAAGCTGGGAAGGGACTTCTGACAAAGGCTTGTAGTGAGAGGAAAATGGGCAATGGATTAAAACTGGAAGAGGGGAGATTTAGGTTAGATATGAGAGAGAAATTATTTCTATGAGGGTGGTGAGGCACTGGAAGAGGTTGCCCAGGGCTAACCCATCCCTGGAAATGTTCAAAGGCAGGTTGGATGAGGCTTTCGGTAACCTGATCTAGTGGAAGGTGCCCATGCAGGGGGTTTGAATCTAGATGAACTTTAAGATCCTTTCCAACCCTAAACATTCCATGATTCTATGAATAAAACATACTGTCACTCTATCTCTGATAAATACTGTGGCTTGGTTTGTACTGAAATTTTAAGTGTTCAGGCTTTTTCATGAATATAAAATACTGGGTTTTCTCCTGATTCCGCAACTCAGGTTTGTCAGCTATCATCAGACAGGGGAAGTTCTGGGATGAGAGACCTTAAATATGCAGTTTTGTATCTTTGCTTCAAGTCCACGAATCTGAAAGCTTTCAGTCAGCAGCGTTCAGGATACACAACTTTCAAAGCAGCTTGTTGAACTGAAGAAAGAGGTTAAATTCTGCATACTGTAGGGGGTCTGGACAAGATGACCCTTAAAGGTCCCTTCCAACCCCATGCATTCTATGGTTCTATGAATTGTGAACTTGCAATGGTCATCATGAAGACTGAAGGTCAGGCCTTTTGTACAATTTGGTACAGGGATGCTTTATAGGGGCATTTGGTCCACAAAGTGTTCTTTACCTTAAAATGGTTTGAGCTGAGATGCCTGGAATGTGCTGTGTTTAGCTACTTTTGCTTTTTGTCCAGCCAGCCTACATATATAATGTGGGATGAAGGAGAAGAATGGGGTGTGTAGGAGGTGAATGTGCATGAGACAAGTGTCAGACACTTAGATGCAGTCAGGTGTTACCGAGGCAGCGGCCTGTGTCTTGCAAGTAAACCCTGTGCTGCAAATAGAGAGGCACGTCAGCACACAGCCATATTAACCCTACCAAGAGTTGTTAGGCTGGCTGCAGTGTTCAGGACACAAACCATTACTCTTTCTAGGGCCAACTCACCTGCTCTTGGGTAGTAAAGCCTGCTTTTGCTCTAGTCAGACACGTCAGCACTTTCCTGTACTTGAGTCAGGGCGTTTTTTAGCTTGTGTGCACTGTTGCATTTTAAGCTGGCTCTATGTCAATTCCACAACAGTGCTGCAGCCACTCTCCTCTCCTAGAACAGGATAGTTATGGAGAACAACACATAGATGTCTCTTTATTTTTCAGGAGTGTTTTTGAGTTGTAGAATGCTCTGGAAGCCATATCAGAACTAATAACCACTCTCAAGGATCAAAGCTTGATTCCTTAAGATCATTGTGGGGGCATCTGTTATTAATGCTTTAGATGAGGTTATGCATGGGCTTTTGAAAATGAACTTTGAAGAGTTGTCTCAGAGTTAACAAGGTTTTCAGATTAAGATAAAATGAAAGGTGTGCTGCAGTTTCAAATGGTTGTTCAGCTTAAAGGAACAGACTAGGACAAGTGCAAACAAAACCTGTGAGGTGTGTGTAGTGTGGACACTGTCATCAGCATTAACTCCTCTATCATACCATTTCATTCCTGGTGATCGGCACAGGCTGTGCTGGTTATTATCTGGATTTTTTCCATTAGCTGGGTTACTAGTTAGGCCGTATCACTTTGTGTCAGGGACTTTGTACCGTGTCTGGCACAACAATGCCCTAATTCATTGTGGTTTTTTTCAGATACAATGTAAGCAAATAAATACTGCGTTTAGAAGGGTAGCCTTCTGGTATGAATTTGCAGAAAAGACATTATTTTTTTCAGCTACTTATAGTACAGATACATTCTGAATATAGAAGCTGTAGGTAGCTTTTCATAGCTGTTTCTACCTGAGGGTAGGAATTCCTGCATTTTTTTCCCACCTCTTCCATCATGTCACTTTGTTTTAGCTGAGCACTAGCCATGTCTATGCTGTGCATGGAGAACTGGAGGAATGGTTTTGTGGATATTTTGTAAAGACTTCAAGCACAAGTTCATTACTGACATTAAGTAATAATTTAGACCCATGTCTTAATTCTTCTGAAGTAATTTTCAGTAATTCAGGAAGCATGCAGATATTTGTACCTGGATGCTGTGAATTACACTAAATGAAAAGAATAGGATCTTCATAGTTCTGGAGTGGAAAAAAAATCAGTTTTGCTTTTTCTAAAGAATGATACTCCAGTCATTTAAAAAAACACTTCAGAAGTTTTGCCAGCAATCCCTGGCTGTGCTTTCTCATAATTCCAGGTTCATAAAAACGTAAAGCCAAACAGTTTCACAAAGATAGGGGTTAAGAGACGTTTTATGAGACGCTACCTTGTCTAAGTCCTGGTGGCAGTTAAAGAATTTCTGTACTTCATCCAAAGCATTGGAGCTGTATTTTGTAACTTTCTTGGAGCTTTTCCAAACAAAATCCCTAGCATCAACATTTGATGGTGAAGTATTCAGAGCGTATCTCTTTCATAGCAGAAACAGCAACATTAAAGGAACCCTAGTGCTCAAAAAATAGGGCATCTTTTGCAGTAATAGCTCTGTGGTTAGAAATCATATATGTCCGTTGTACATGATGAGTATGTAACAGGTGTATCATTACTAGTAATAGAGAGATGGAAAGTGCAGCAAAAACTCTTGAGAAAGGTGACTGGAATTAAAGCAAGTCCATTAGTAAGATTGTATATTTAGGTTCTCTATTCTCAGTTCTTAGAAGAAAACATGCCTTTTTTTGTGTTCTGACTTTGTAATTTGTAAAGACATAGAAGGCTATGCTTTTTGTTATGTTTTTAAGAACACAGTGTTACAGTCTGGTGTTATGACTGCTGTCTGACTTGTCATGAGTTGGCATTTGTTTCAGTTCTAATAATGGCATACTGTCCCTGTGAGGTAAGGCAGACAAATAGTGGCTTGAGACATTGTATCATATATCCACAGTATCATCTGAATAGCTGGAGGTACACTCCCCCAAAATATTTTTGTTTCACACAGCACTAAAGTTGGACTCAACTTGAGGAATGTCTGGGATTTGTCAAGAGGTAGTACCAATCAGAATGAGAGTGAAGGATCTTACATTCTCTTCCATGGATTGTTGGAGAAGACAAGTTCTAATGGTCACAAACCCTTCTTATCTCTTTGCATTTTGGTTCCTTCTGCCTGTTCCACAACTGGAAAACCGTTTCAACCCATGTAGCTTTAATTTGCTGTTGCCTGTGGGACCTGTACTTTGTATGTTGTGGAGATTGAGAGGCATGTGTTTAAAGTATTGGGCAATGATTTTGTTCTTTCAGTTCTTTTGCCTTCCAAATGAATGAGAAGTGTGTGTGGCTGGTTTCTGATTTACAGTTTGGCTCAAGACTTCTTGGCTCAAGTAGCAGCTCTGTTCAGATCATGCACACAATTATACAAGGATACATAGTCAAATACTATGCCTGTAGATCAGTTGCTCAAAAGAAATGGATTCTCTGCTCTAAATCAAACTATGCAATAGTTCTCCACTCAGAAAGTTTACCACAATCTCAATTTCCTGGGATCCTCTGGACAGAATAATTCTATGAGACACTTGGTTATGTAGTGAGTATGTGAGAGCTGAAAAATTAGGTTCTTCAGAGGAGTCTACTACTTTTTCTGCCATCACTAAGTGAGCAACCATTCAGTGGCCTGGTTGGATCAAGGACCCCAGGAAAATTTGTGATCATGTAATTGAGGATTTTTACATAGAATAAATGAATAGAAATCTCTTGTGGTTTGCTGTCTTTACTTTCAAGCACTTATCTTGGCTATCCAATGCCATTTTTTTTACATTTTAATGCTTGCATTAGAGTTCTTCTCCTGGTTTCTTTTACAGAATTAAGCTATGCTGTATTAGGCACTTTAATTCTGAAAAAAGTGTTCTCTCTCAAGGCTTTTAGCAGTTTTGTCAGTTAGAAGTTTTATTCCAATCTAATAAACCTGTTTTAGTAGTCTTTTCCCATGAAAAAATTGTCTTGTACTTTATTTTCTTGGTGGTTTATTAAGAAGGATCTGTATCCTTTATGTAATCTCTGTTTTTTTAATGTGTTTCCAGTCCTCCTGTTCGACGTCAGAGAACAAGGAGAGATCGTTTGTCTAGGCATAATTCCATTAACCAGGATGAAAACTACCACCACCTCTCCTATGGACAGCAACAAGCAATAGAAGAGCCCCGAGCCTTTCACCCACCGAATGTATCTCCTCGTATGTTGCACCCAGCTGCTCACCCACCACAGCAGAATGCAGTGGTGGTTGACATTCATGATCAGGTAAGAATTTTGGAGTACAAACATAAAGGTGTTGAAGATTTGCTTTGTTTATTTGGGGCTTTTTTCCCAAATCTTTACTGTTTCCCAAAGTTAGTTAGCCACAAAAGTCTTATAACACTAAATTCTATTTGCCAGTTTGCAGAGAATGTTTCTAGTTTAGTATTATTTGCATATGGACTACTGCAGTAGGCAGTGAAAAAACAAGAAGGAAGATCCAGACAACAATTTGGCAATTCATGTATCGGCATAGTTCTGTAAGCCTTTGAACTGCAGGTGTTTTGCTTCTGAAGTTACTTTTATGTCATAAAAGTGTGCTGCCTTAATTAGGATTGTATCCTGTTTCACGTGAAATACCTCTTTAGGTGTCTTTAAATAGTTAAAATACATTATTTAGAAGTAGAGTTCACAATATGTATAATTGCCTGCATGACAGCAGAACTCCTAATAGTAATACTGTTGAGTAGCCAAATTACCCATGTATGTCAGCAGGCTGCAGTACAAGTGCTTTAGTTGCTACAAAGTCATGAGCTGGGGAATAGAACTGGGTATAGAGATGTCCATTTCTCACAATAACACATGCATTAAATGCAGCTCTAACATCCCTGCTTAAAAACTGGTTCGCTTTCAGTGCCGCTGCATGCCACTGGTGTGTGGTATTAGGAGTGCAGAGCATTTCTCTGTAGGGAAGAAGTTGCATTTGGGACCAAGTGCAAGGGTGGAAGCTAACACTATTCTAGCCATCTCACAACCTTACATTTTGATGAACAATTTTACTGCTGCAGCATTTCAGAAATTTGTTTCTGGTCTTGCTTTGTGTTGCAAAATTATTACATCGTGACAAACCTGGATAAGCAGTTGTTTTCATACCACTGCTTCTGCCTTCCAAGCACCATCTATATAACCAGATGTCGGTGTTACCAGACTCACCAAGGTCTTCCATGGTGATATTTTACACTTCTGGGGCATAACCATTTTGAGAGATCATTTTTTGTTACTACTCAGAGCAGTAAATGTTTCAGAATCACACCCAGCATTGCAGCCTGTGTCCAACTTCAGTAGCTGGGGCAGAACTGGATCGAATGCAGCATCTCTCCTGAGATGGGTTTCTGTCATTAGCCGTATACAGGTTGAGATTTTAAGTTCTTCTCAGTGATCTTTATTCTGCTTTGACCTCAGTATCTGACTGTATACTACCAGTTCAGTAGGTTAGCTGTCTTTACTCACCCGCACCTTCTTAATGAGCTTGCTTGTCCCATTTTAAACAAGCAGGTTCCATTTTAGCAGATCATGAAGGAAGATCAAGCTTCCTTGAAATAAAGACTTTTAATTAATGCTCTCTGACATATAAGCCTTTTCAGTTTATTAGAGAATTAGAGACTTCTTATTTAGTGTTTAAAAAACCACCACCCAAACAAAAACCGAAAGTGTTTTGTAGGTCCAAGATACCTTAGGATCTTTGTTTGATTATTAAATTTTAGGCAATATCACTAGCTGGAAAATTGAGTTACATGGGTATGTTTCCTAGTATAAACATGGATGTTTCAGGACTGCTGCCTCATAGGCATCTTTACCTTTTCAACTTTCTGGTTAACAATTCTGGTACATTTAGGTTAGGAGACTTAGCTAGAGTTATTAGATTTTTTAAATTAGATTATTGAATCGGTCTATTCAGAGCTGATAAGATTCTTTAGCTACTACTTTAGTTTTCATATGGGTACAACTGCCTTCTTATTTTGTAATGATTTACCTTAGTATGTGGAGAGGGGCAGGCTTAATAGAGTCTGAGATGCTTCTGAGTGACTCTGAGGTGCTTTGGAAGTTTTAACATTTAAAGCTGGGAGTTCCCTCTTGGCTTTGCCCAAAAACCGCAGGTCAGTAATACTCCATTGAGAACTGATATTTTAATCAACAGGAATTACAAGCATATATCTCCTTTTACAGTTTCATAGTGAGTATTTTTTTTTCCAAAATGCAGGTAAGAGCTTGTTATCTGTACAATACCATTAAGAGTTTACAGTAAGTTAACAATATTTTTTTCCCTTTTGCTGCAGATCCATCAGGGCACAGTTCCTGTCTCATACGCAGTGACAACAGTGGCTCCACATGGGATACCACTTTGCACAGGCCAGCACATCCCAGCCTGCAGCACACAGCAGGTCCCAGGGTGTTCAGTGGTTTTCAGTGGGCAACACCTTCCAGTTTGCAGTGTGCCTCCCCCGGTAAGTGAGTCTCTGTAATTACACCAGCTTCAGGCTTTGAATTGGCACCTTGAAGCTTCAGTGTCTGTGTGGCTTTAATTGTGTTAGAAATAACCTCGTTTATTATTTCCCTCTGGTAAATTGCAGTGGCATAGCAGTGTCAGCCTTAGACCTGGTTATAAAGTATTGCTGTTTATAGTATAGAGTCTTCTTGATGTTTAACTCCATTTAAATGCCAGTTTATGAACTGACTTCTTATCAGCAGCTATTTTGCATACTTTCAGAGAGTGAAAGGAAGATATCTTAAGTCTTTTATGAAGCAGCTCACCTAGGAAAAAATCTTACTTGGTAGAGTCCTTGTTCAGAGTTTGGTTGCATACAAAAAGGTCTGATATTCCAATGTCAGTTTTACTCTGAGGAGTAATAAGATTCTGAAAGATCCAAAAGCTGAGAGGGGTTCTTCTGTCTCACAGTGGTCTCATAAAATTCATCAAAATATCATTTAATAATGATGACTCTTTGTGTTTTCTGAGAGTGAACTGCCTTGACTGGCTAATGTGCTAGCTCTAAAACTGAAAGAATTTAAACTGTTTTCTCAGACATTTTAATGAGTGAGCTTGGAGATACCACTTCCTGGTCTTAGCATTCTGATGCTGCTATTTCATCATTAAGTACTAGAGGATCCAGAGCTGAAGAAGTGTACCCAAGAAGTTTCAACTGTACAGACAAAGGTTACAGAACCTGGCAGAAGACTCCTTTCACCCCTGCTCCTTTTTCTAGTATAAATCTCTTCTATCATACATTAAAACTATATATAGGGTCCAGTAACAATTTATAATGTTGGTATAAAAATCGGTCTCTGCCAGCTGTGCATTTGCCAGCTTTGCATAACATAACTTTTTCTGTTGCCCGCTTTGTGGCCTAAGAGCATGAGCAAGCCTATGATGCTGAAACAAAACCCTTGATGTGACCACCTATTTCTTTAAGCTACGCATTGAAGTGTGTGGGGAATTTGCATCCGTCTTGTCCAAGTGCCATTTATGCCCGTGGGAGACAAGGTCTGCAGCATTCTGTTGGCCAGACTGGAGCATCTGTGGGCAGTGTTCCCCCTTAGGTTTCAATTGGTGAAAATCTTTTACGTGAGTCAGGGTATATCCCTGAGGCAGGATGAGAAGCAACTCCTTCCTCCTATTTAGTGGTGGTGTTAGTGGAGAAAAGCAGTCTCGGACTGAGTACCCAGAGGTTGGAACAACACTTGCATAGTTAATTCTGCAAGGCATGAAGGCAACATTGTCCTAAGAAACAACAACAGAGAAAAAGCTGAAGCTGTGTTTGTGCTTAGGGGAATCAAAACAACAGATACTAATAATCTTACTCCCTGCTTTGAACAGATATATTACCTGTGCAATTCATTTAATATTTTACCCTTTGTTGGTTGTGATAATGATGTCTTTCAGTGGACTCATTTCTGTATGACACTGTCTGCCTTGGGCACTGGGGTGGCCAAAACTGGACACAGGACTTGAGATACAGTTTCAAAAGATCCAAATAGAGATGCAGAATCACTTTGTGGGACCTATTAGTTACATTCTCAGTAATGCAACCCAGCATGCAGTAGGCTTTTTTGACTGCAGGAGTACACTACAGCTTTTGTGTCCTCCCATTTGACATGTCTACCAGACCCAACTTTTTTTTTTTTTTTCAGCAGTTCTGCTAACTAACTAGTCTCAAAATGTCCTGCTCTGTAGAGTTACTCTCTCCCAGTGCCAGACTTCACAGTTGCCTCAGAGTTTCACATGGATCATGTCAGGTCATTTCTTCAGTTTATAAAAGTACATCTGACAGGTAGCCCTACCCCGCAGCGTGGCAGCTTGCTCACCAAGTTAATCTGTGAACTTCCCAGTATTCCCATGTATGTAACTATAAAGTAAACAAATGTAATTTATTAAATACTGTAATGAGTTTTAAAACTTCCTGGAAACATATGTTCAAACAGCAGAAGTTTTAAAAAATTAATAGCAAATACTATTAATAAATAATAATAATTATCGGGTCATCATTTCTTTCCACTTGACAGATAATGCAGCCTCATTTGCTGTAGCTTAAGAAGCACCGTGGTCATAGCACAGATCGTTACAAACATATACTGAAGCTATGGTGATCCTTACCATACAGAATCTTGGGTTTAAATCTATTTTAATGTGTTCTCCAGATCACTTTCTGTTTTAAAAAATACAATGTGATGCTCTACCTGCAAATTTATTTTCAGCTATTTCAGAGAACAGTTTTTGATTTAGTAAAATATGACTAAAAAAATGTATTTTAACGTGTTAATGGAAACACTGGCCTGTTGTATTTATTTTTTAGAGAAATGATGTAGTAGCCAGAAGGGGCAAAAATAGTCAGCTTTTAAGAAAAAAGAGTAGTCAGATCAAATTAGTCTGCTACTGTTTCAGAGCATGTAAAGATTTATGTTTGGTCATTACCACAGTAAATTGAGGAGATAGTTCTACCTCCACTGCTGTAATTTGGTTTTAAACTAGATCTCTCTACCGTTTTATGCCATTTTAGCAAATAGGCACAATATATATTGTGTGACACAACTCGAAAGAAAAAGACAAAGTGAGAGATCAGAACTGATCCTCTTTTCTTTGTAAGATTTGGTAACAAGTATGTTATTAACTGCTCATTAGTTGTCAGAAATGTAACAGAAATGCCTGACTTTCTGATGATGGATGAAACAGCAAGGAGAAGAGAATGCAAGTTGTCTTGCTTCTCTGTATCTAGAGTTGGAAGTAAAACCAAACTTTTCTACAAGGCACAATCCTGCTCTCCTGCAGTGCCTTCATCACTTTATTGTTAAAACTTTAGCACTCAGTTGCTTTCGTAAGAGGATTTTCAAAAAGGAGAGAAAAAGGGCTATTTTTTGCTGTCACTTAGGGAGCTGCCTTTAAAGCATGAGGCTCCCCTCAAAGTGCAGAACTGAGTAGCACTTACGCATAATTTTTAGTATATCAGGCAACTGAGTTTTTAAGGTACAGACTGACAGCTGGGAGACCCTCTGCTCCATCTAGAGCGTAAAATGTTTGCAAGGCCATTGCTTTGGCCTGCTGTTTCGAAGGTAGTATCTGCAGAAAATAAACTAGGATAAATGTGTCTGCTCATCATTTAAGAGTTTGTGTAATCCTGGATTATTGCAAACCCCAACTCCTGCTGACCTCATGAGAGTGAGAGATGCAGATGTCAAACTATAGTACTTTCAGAGCCTGTTCTATACTAATCACTCTTCCATGTGTATTTGAATGAGTTCTTGTTTATGTGTGTCTTTGAGTTTTCTCCAAGGAGGCAAGAGAGCTGGTTTGTTTTAATGATACATTTCCATAATAAATATAGAATGTTCTATATGGAATGTTTGTGCTAGAGATAAAAATATGTTGTTTTCATTTTATTTCAGGTGCTTCAAGCATGCTCAGTCCAGCATCTACCTGTACCGTATGCAGCATTTCCACCCCTCATTTCTAGTGACCCATTCCTTTTGCATCCTCCTCATATCTCTCCACACCACCCTCCTCACTTGCCTCCTCCAGGACAGTTTGTTCCTTTCCAAGCACAGCAGTCACGGTCGGTAAGTAAAGCTTCTTACCCTCTCTCTCTGTAGAATTGGTGGGGCTGGATGAGCAAATAGTGCTGATACCTGACTGAGGAAACAGAAGGATTTTGTTTGAAGTAATAGGTCTTTGCACTTATGCTTCCTTAACAAGTCTGTAACCACTTAATATGAAGAGAAAAAAATAATGTAAAGTTCACCATATTTCTCTTCAGATTTCGTCAACTGTTGTCTATGCTGTTCCTTCATAGACCTTTACCTCTGTCAAAAAGATGTGTATTTGCTTCACCAACTATTACTTCAGGTATTTCTTTCCCAGGAGCAGACGAGAATCCAGAGAAGGTTGTGTAGCGGGGAGAGAAGTGTGGAATGTTACTTTCATTACATGTGTCTTTTGTATTACTTCTCAGTTAATTTTTAAAAGACCAGTGCTTTTCCCAAAATACAATGAGCTTAGGTCACTCAGACATGCTTTGACATCCTTGTATTTATGGTTTTTTTCCCACGTAAAAACGTTTATGCCTTCTGTTTAAGCAAGCTTGGCTTACTGATAAGGACTATGCAAACATGGGAAAATGTGACCCATTTGGATTTGGGGGAGATGCTACATTTTCAGTTCTGGCCTTTTGATCTGTATATTCATGTCCATTTGTTTGCCTCTGACTAGAAAATGCCGGTAATTTCACTAAAGCAGAAGTAGAAAACACCTTCATTGTTAAATGCAAACACTGCTGAGGCTTGTCCGTGCCATCTTTCATATGTGGGTAGGGTTATAATAACTTTGTTATGGTGGTGGGAGAATATCTGAGAAAATACAGTTTTCAGTTATAGTCTTTATATGACTTTTCCTTTAGAAAATGTACGGGCTCAGGTTTTAGCTTTGATTGCCTGCTTAGGTTATTGGCTAGGCTTGCCTGTCAACTTCCAGCTCTGGTCAAAAGCTTGTATATTTGTGGTCTAAGATAACCTTGTCTTTAAAGTTTACCTGGCATAACAGGGAAACCAAATATTTCTTTGATTGCATAAGGTGACTTTCACAGGTGAATTTCTCGAAATTGTGGAATTCAGTGTCACACACAGAAAGGTGTATTGATGAAACAATTACAATTCCTGGTTAATTCTTGAGCACTTTTGCGTCTGACTCGTGTACTAGAGTTGAATAGATAATGATACTGAACTGGGATCTCATTATTCTGAAACCTCAAGAATATGTTCTTAGTACAACTGCTTGCATGACCCTCCAAGGAAAGCCTCTGCTTGGTTACTGAGTATCATTAGCAGTTTGGTTTATTGGAGTCGACATTGTGATTTCCTCTCCAATTTTCAGATTTTCTGGCACAATTTCAGTTCTTGTCTATGGTTGTCTATTTTTTTCTCTCGCATAGTTGTACAGTGAGAGCAGCCTGGCAAGAAGGAGAGCAAATATTTATCCTGAAAAATGCAAGACACAGGAAATTACAGCCACTCCTATATTTGCTAGATCGCATAAATTCCTGGTCTATAAGCATGGCTAGCTGGAAAAGGTGAATTGATATCAAATGTGTAGTGTTGTCTTTGCTTTTTGGTAGTGTTAATGGCACAGGAATTGTTCAGAGAAATACTGTATGAACCTGAGTACAATTATACCTGTAATTATTTTTTCCTTTGCCCTAGAAAATTGAACACAGCCAGTCAGAATGTACAGCTGGGATTGCAGTTCTTTTCTGGGGAAAAAAATTGCATCTCTACTATTCCAACAAAGCCTGTATCTTTATTATTTTTCTTTTTAGCCACTTCAAAGGATAGAAAATGAAGTAGAACTACTTGGGGAACATCTTCCTGTAGGAGGTTTTACATACCCTCCCTCAGCCCATCCACCAACATTGCCTCCCTCAGCTCCTCTCCAATTCTTAACCCACGATCCTTTACACCAGGAGGTGTCATTTGGTGTAGTAAGTGTTTTTTTCTGTGCTATTTTCTCATTCATGCTGCATTAATATTCTAGACCTTTACAGTACATTTTGTTGAAGAGTGGCACAGCTTGCAGTTTTATTCCATTATTGGCTATAGCTGCATACCATGTAATTTTTTAATGAAATTAGGTGTAACTTAATGACACAAGCAAATTATTTCTGATAACGTTAACTGCAGAGTGTCATAGCAGTTACTCAGAAAACATGCCATGTTGCCACAGAGCCCAGGACTTCTGCTGCGAAAACTAGTTTCTATAGTTTAGAAAAGTTATTTTTCTTCATTGTATGTTGAGTTTAAACAAGTCAGGAAAGCTAGGATGCTTTAAAAGAAGTTCTTGTACAGAGCGTTTGCAGTTTGCAGACAAGCGGTAGTATTGAGTGCTTCCATAATTTTTTTCCATAATTAAGACAGCCAAGCTTGCTTTAAGCCAACTTTATAGGGACCTATGGGTAATTCAACTGCAGCAGTACAAAAATAAATAAATAAATAACAAGGCAATAAACCTGGTGCAGGATAGTCTGGAATTTTGTGCTTCTGTGTTGTGTCCTGTATCAGTGCTACGTATAGGATCTTTGTGTTGAGCTTTAATCTGCAATTATTTTAGTCCTGAGATTTTCTTGTTGTTGTTTTGCTTGTTTTGGCTTTTTTTAGAAAAAACTGTCCTGCCTGTGTAATGCTTCAAGAAAGAAATAGAAGTCAGGTACAGGCTCTGAAGTATTTTTTTATGTTTGACCTGTGCATCATCTTGACAGAAGGTTTTAGAGGCACATTGTTACATAAATTCTAAATGAGAATGGAATGCTAGGCCCCGTGACTACAGAATACACAGATAACTTCCACTTAGTCTCCTTGAAGTCAAACAACCTAGCTAAATGTTTGCTGCAATTTCTAGAAAGATTCAAGTAAGTTTCCACCATTTAAAAAAAAAAAGTCCCTGTTAGACTAAAGATGTGCAGATTTTCAGTGAATTTTTCAGTCCCTGTGAGTCACTCTGGAGACAAGACACTTAAAAACTTCCATAAACTGCTTGTATTCTATTCAATATGCTTATTAGATGGATTACAGTCTAATCACAGACATTTTGGTTGGAGTTAGGCTTTCTTGGTTTCCAAGTTCAGCCCTTTTAGTAGATAAGGAAAAGAATACCATGTTTGTGCAGAATATGTAGCATTTTTCCTCTCCGATGCTTCAGTTCCGGGTTGTATATCACTGAGGAGTAGAGCAAAGATGTACTGTAAGTAATCATACGGTCTTTTATACAGCAATCCTAAATCTTAGTACAATTTTATTTATATTAAAATTAATATGGATTTCTGATTCTTTCATTAAGTGAACAACAATTTCTGATTCTATTTTTGGATTGCAGAACTCACAAACAGTAAAATTGATAATTGCTGTGTCTGGTTTGAGATCTTACTTTTGAGAAAAAGGCTTTGGCTCTTCACATTATGTTTATTTGAATGTAAATTTTATGTATGACCATAGCTACCTATTAATAATGTTTCCATGGTAAAGTCAGGGGGTTTAGATTAGTAATAGGTGGTGTTGGGCTTTTGCATTTTATTAAATTCCAAACATGAAAGAAGAAAAACATCTTAGTGAAAACTGAGTGTTCTTTGTTTAAAAAAGAAAAAAAGAAGTCTCAAGGCCTTAAAATATTAATTCAATAGTGCTACATGAATTTTTAGTTTTAAAAACTACTAAAAAATTGTTAGTACTCTTGAGTATATCTTGAAAAATAGTTTGCATTTAAGTAGAACTATTGAACTGTATTTTCCCCATCTTAGTAGGTAATGAAAGGAATTTTGAACAATTATCATGAAAACTTAAACATACAAGATCTTAGTGTGCAAATGAAAAACGTATGACAATAAAGCTCTGTTTTATCTGTGGAAATAATGGATTGAAAACTTAGGCTTGACTGCCTCTTTAGGCATTGTCCAGCCACAGAACTTGTGCTGATCAAACTCTCCACATAGACTTGAAAGGCTTTAACCCTTCTTTAACATAAGTGTAAATATACTTCACTCTTTAAGAGTGTTTTAATTTTAAGATTTTTAAAAATAATTTTTGAATAACTATTAAAGTCTTTTTTACTCACCTGCTTTTGTGCACGCCTGCATAACAGCACCAGGCCTGAAGCCTGGTCTTTTAAACTTCCAAGAGAGTCAGCAGTTCAAGTCCTGTTTCCCAAACCAGCCTACAGGTAGACTAAGCACACAAGAGCTTGCAAGGATTTCTGTTGTGTATTAGTGCTTTTCCACGTGGAGTGGAAAATGGGATGTAACTGATGAGAATTGTTTCATATTGAGACTGAGGTTCCTTTGGATTTGAGCAGAGCCTGATTTTTTTTAATAATGCTCTATTGAAAGTGGATTTCAATATTCAGATCTCATTTTATTTCATTATTAAGAAGCAAATTGCTGAATCACAGACTCACAGACCTGGATGAGATTGAAAGGGAGGTCAACTGGTCCAATCCGCCTGCTCAAGCAAGGCTACCTAAAGTCGGTTGCCTGGGACCATGTTCACTCAGCTTTTGATTATCTCCAAGGATAGAGACTCTCTGGGCAACCTGTGCCAGTGCTCAGTCACCCTCACAGTAAAGAAGTGTTTCCTGATGTTCAGACGGAGCCTCCTGTGTTTCAGTTTGTGCCCACTGCCTCTGGTCTTGTCACTGGGCACCACTGAAAAGAGCCTGGCTCCGTCTTCTTTGCACCCTCCCTGCAGGTATTTGTATGCATTGATAAGACCCCTCTGAGCCTTGTCTTCTCCAGGCTGAACAGTCCCACCTCTCTCAGCCTTTCCTCATTTGTGAGATGCTCCCGCCCCACCTTAGTAGCCCTTTGTTGGACTCTCTGCAGTATGTCCATGTCTCTGTTGTGCTGGGGAGCCCAGAACTGGACACAAGTTCCAGTTTCACAAGTTCCAGTTGAAGCTTATTTTCTTCTTTCTTGCAGCCTTACCCACCTTTTATGTCTCGAAGACTCACAGGGCGCAGCAGATACCGATCACAGCAGCCAATGCCACCACACCCCTACCATCCCAGCCTATTACCTTATGTGCTGTAAGTTCAAAGTACATTTGCTTCCATTAGGCTATTAAGAAGTCACCTGACTGTCAATGAGAGACTGCACTTTTTATGGTTGAATTCTGCTAGACAACAGGCATCATTTGGATATCCTGGAGAGGAGGAAAACTTCCACTTCTGTTTAAATTTTTCAGTTTATTTTGAATAACATACACCCTTGAGCAAGGAAAGATACAATTTAACAGTTTTATCCAATGTAGTTTTATGGGGTTTTTGAGATACAGTAGCCCCTTGTTTCTGAACTCATTCCTAAAATCTGAAACAAATTTTAAAACTTTCATTCTTGGATACTCTTACAGAGGCATAGTTTTGTGGAAGGATGAAGTTCTAAGAGTCTTCACTTACAGAATAAATTAATTTGATTTCATTCTTAATTCTGAAACACTAGGGCAGGAGCTTTCTGTGATGATTACTCTGTATTGGCTGAACTGCTAATCTGTTAACGACTGTTGAATTTGTTTTCTACTTCTGATAAGCTGTTTCTGAAAAAATGTGGGCCAATTAAAATTTAGGAATTTACCCATTGTGTGTTGTGGTAGACCCTCTGTGGCTGAGTTTGGGCATATGACACGAGATCTATTGCTCTTCTGTGTTCTGCTTCAGAAATAAGGATTAAATCTTTGGAAAACAAAGATCTCCTAGTGGCAAAAGTGATATTGACAAGTTAATACTCAAACTTTGAGACCAGATCTGCAGTATCTTTCTGTGCAGTGTCAGATGTGGCATGAAAATGGCACTAGAAATCTGATCCACTGAAGTAAATTCAACTTTGTGTCTTAAAGTCTGAGAGTGATATAATAGCTTCCTGCCTGTCCACTGAGGACACAATGTGGCATAGTAATTCCTGATTACTTCAGTGGGATTTTAATATATTTTAATTCCGTGAATTTGTTATTTCTATATCTGTGAGTTTTGACCTATAGGACAGTCTTGGAGAGTAAAAATACTTGTTGAATATAAAACCAGAACATCTCTTTCTTGCCTCTCTACCTGAAGAGATTCTGCTTTGACCAGCATCACAGTGTGTGAGAAAATGACTTTGTGCTTGCATTAAGTGTGGAAGTTGGTCCAGTAGCATATCCTATTTATCTGCATTGCGTGTTTCATGCTTTACAGAAGTTTCAAGGCATTTGTAGTGAAGAGTTAACTGAACTTAGTATTCCTTGTCTTTCTTGATATTTTGTCTGCTTAAAGATATAAAGCCTGTTTAAAACCAGAAGGTCAAATCAGTGTCAGTATTAGCTCTCCATAATCTGTGTTAATCAAGATACTAGTTCTAGAAATAATGGTGAGCTTGGTTGGAAGTATCAGTTGAGACATGCATGCAACTAAAAGGCAGCACTCTTAGAATCAAAAAGTTGCACAGTTAGATTTTTCACGTGACTCTTCCACTTCATTTTGAAGTCAAGAATAGACATTTGAACATTTTTACCAGTTCTGAGTACTTGTTGATATGAGAGGGGCAAACAAGGTAACTTTATACCTCTGCTAGATGTTTCTGTGCTTTCCTTCAGCAAGATGCTGAACCTTATAATTGTTTGCTCTCATGGTAGATCAATGCTTCCAGTGCCACCTGCAGTTGGACCAGCTTTCAGCTTTGAGTTGGATGTGGAAGATGGAGAGGTAGAAAACTATGAGGTTGGTGTGTAAACTACAACTACCTTTAAAGAACAGATGTTAGCTCAAGCAATACATAAAATGTTGTTATATTTTGCTTTTAATCCTACTTTTGTCTTTTATCTTTCAAATAAATGTAATGACTGTTTAGACAGAATCCAGAAACCACCCTTTTGGATTTTTTGGGGGGGATATTGGAAGTGATTTCCTTAAATACCACACAGAAGGGAAACACTTTCAAGAGAGCAGGGTAAGTTACTGGGTTTTGTGCATAAATTTGCAGAAAAGTTTGAATGCAGGGTAGTGTTAATGTCATAGGATTAGTTAATCTAAATGTAATGTTTATAAAACTACCTTTCTGCCTTCTTGACCCTCAGGAGGGTATAGTAGTTCACCCTCTGTAGTACCCTAGATAATTATGGAGCAGTCCCAACTGTAGCATCTTTGCTGGTTCGGAGACTATAGAATGCAGTTGGATTTTTCTTCAAATGGTCATCATCAACCCTTGTTTTTCATCTCTTTGCCTGTGCTCCCCTTAAGAGCTCTGTGTAGTTGCATGTTTTCAGTTTAACACGTCTGTAATAACTTCTGTGCTAGCTCTGAACAAGCACCATCTTACATCTGAGAATTTGGGCCCTAGGTTTGACAGACACTTCTTGTGGTCAGAACTGTTTGCAGCTTTCCATCAAGTCTTTTAACTCTACTATGCCTTGGTTCTTCATTGCACTTAAAGTGATATTTTTTCCTAGGCCTCTTGTGCGGGAGTGCAAGTTACATACATGACAGAGGGCAGAATTATTTATGTGAGAGGCTTTTACTTGCAATGCTTGTCTTACGCAAAATGAACATAACATTTGGCAAAAAAAGTGCTTAAAGATTTATGGCATGTATTTGTTTTCCAGATAAAATCTTTGTATTTCCATTTAGCTAGCCCAGAATGCGCAATGGCAGTCAGTACCCTTCCCATGAAATTATTGGTTTATCTTACAAGACCAGACTCCCATATTCTTAGGAACCAAGTTTGTTAATTTTGTTTAGTTTTGATTTTTTTTCTGGTTACCAGCACTGTTAATTTCATAGCAGTGTGAGGCAGTCCTTCAAAAGCAAGTTGTGCATGCAGCCACAAGACTGGTTGGAGGTTGGGTGTGTGAGGCTTTGAAATCACAAAAGGAGTATCTTACATGATTAGAAAGATGGTTCAATTCTGAAAGACTTTCCATGAGGCTTTAAAGCTTTAAACATTTCTTGATAGAATGGTCTCTTGTTCCACCAGCTGGGGCAGCCTCACGTCTAGTTAAACCACAGCCAGTTTGAGCAGTGAGTTTTTAAATGTCCAATGTCCATGTTTTGCAGGCACTTCTGAATTTGGCAGAACGTCTGGGAGAAGCCAAACCACGGGGATTGACAAAGGCAGACATTGAACAGCTTCCATCATACAGGTTCAATCCAAACAACCACCAGTCAGAGCAGACATTGTAAGTACATTGGACTCTTTCAAAGGTCTGTAATTGTGGTGGCTGCATTTTATTTTTTAACTTGCAGCCTCAGCGAGGCCAGAATGGCTTTAAAAGCAGTCACATCAGTAAGCAGTTGAATTTTTTTGTTTCTTGGATTGCATTCCAGATCAAATACTGCTTAACCTTACTTCAAAACCTCCATCTAATCTCACATCATTTAGCTACAATTCCATTTAGTTCCACAGCATAAAAAAATTAAACTGAGAGAAAGGCATTCCAAGTTTTTTTTCAGCATTCTAGACATTGAAGTGACTTTGTCAACTTGGAATGCCTACTGTGCTAAAATAGCTTCAAGTGTTAATGTTTCAAGTGACAGAGCTTGGTCAGCAGTTTAAGAAAAAGCTGTTAAGTGCATCTTCTTGTTTTTAAAACCTGTTAACTTTCTGTGTTTGAAAGATGTGCACCACCAAGTGGAAAGGGCAGTATAGGTATGAAGATAGTTAAAGTGACTTAGTACCAAATGCTGTCTAATGTTTGAACTTCAGTGTAAGGATTTTCCTCTGATGTTCCAGTTTTAGTGACCCTCAGAGTGACTTACTAGTATCAGTAGAGAGTGAACTTTATACATCATTTGCTCTGCCATTTTTCTTTTTTGATGTAACATCTGTTCTGTTGGTTGGGTCTGTGAAATCCTGTGAGTAGGAGCACTTGCTTTGTGATTTGAAAGCACACACACAAAAAATACCCCAGCAACAGCAATTCTCATTTTGCATTGTCACACTACACATCTTTAACCACAGATAGAGGTAACTGTAGCTGCCCAAGGGGTAAAAGAGCTACCAAGCTGCAGTCACCAGCTCAGTAAAAATATGGTTAGTTTGGGTTTTTTTTCTTACATAGCAGATACATTTGAACTTTGTTGTCTTTTTTAGGTGTGTGGTGTGCATGTGTGATTTTGAGTCAAGGCAGCTACTTAGAGTCTTACCCTGTAACCATGAGTTCCATGCCAAGTGTGTCGATAAATGGCTGAAGGTAAAAAATAAAAAATTCTTATCTTGTAGGGAGCTCATTATGTAGTCTGGGGGGAGGCGGGGGTATTTTGCTGTTCCACTTCATTTCCTCTTGTCTCGCGTTTCTAATACTTAGCCTAGAAATGCCAACAAAGTGGAGGCACAGTCTACTTATGATATTTTTCTTTCAATTGATGCAGGAAATTTCTTTATAATCTTTGTAACAAGGGAAAATGAGTATAAAGATAATTACTGGTATATCTTACTGTGTTTTACATTTGCACCAAACAATAACTGGGAATTCAGTTTCTCTGTGAAATTAAATAATCCTTAAAAAACATCATTTGCTCTGCCATTTTTCTTTTTTGATGTAACATCTGTTCTGTTGGTTGGGTCTGTGAAATCCTGTGAGTAGGAGCACTTGCTTTGTGATTTGAAAGCACACACACAAAAAATACCCCAGCAACAGCAATTCTCATTTTGCATTGTCACACTACACATCTTTAACCACAGATAGAGGTAACTGTAGCTGCCCAAGGGGTAAAAGAGCTACCAAGCTGCAGTCACCAGCTCAGTAAAAATATGGTTAGTTTGGGTTTTTTTTCTTACATAGCAGATACATTTGAACTTTGTTGTCTTTTTTAGGTGTGTGGTGTGCATGTGTGATTTTGAGTCAAGGCAGCTACTTAGAGTCTTACCCTGTAACCATGAGTTCCATGCCAAGTGTGTCGATAAATGGCTGAAGGTAAAAAATAAAAAATTCTTATCTTGTAGGGAGCTCATTATGTAGTCTGGGGGGAGGCGGGGGTATTTTGCTGTTCCACTTCATTTCCTCTTGTCTCGCGTTTCTAATACTTAGCCTAGAAATGCCAACAAAGTGGAGGCACAGTCTACTTATGATATTTTTCTTTCAATTGATGCAGGAAATTTCTTTATAATCTTTGTAACAAGGGAAAATGAGTATAAAGATAATTACTGGTATATCTTACTGTGTTTTACATTTGCACCAAACAATAACTGGGAATTCAGTTTCTCTGTGAAATTAAATAATCCTTAAAAAAAGAGTGACATAATAATATAGGAAGTATGAATTAGAGTTTCTCCGATGATGGTGACTTTTTAACTAGTTTAGATACCCTGTGTAGCAAGAATGAGTACTGATACCTTCCTCCCCCACTTTGCTATTAATGTTAGGTTCTGGGACAAATAAAATGTGCTTTGTATGTACATATATGTGTATGCATATATGTAGAAATGTAATATGTACAAATAGAAACTATAATTTTACAAATTAGGATATACCCTTCCAAGAGAATTTGAGCAGAAAAAAAGGATTTAGAATCAGGGCAACCCCGTAAGAGGACAGATCAAATAGCAGCAGTGCAGAAGGTATGAAGAACAGGAAATACAAATAAGTAGGTGATGATACGCTGACATTTCTACAAGTGGTATTAGGCAGATATATTGGCAACAAGGTATTGATCCCCATTCCTCACCTTTTTTCAGTATTTTATTCTGTTCAGCTTTAGTTTAATCTGCATGTAGTCTGTTGTGTAGAAAACTTGAAACTGCAATGATCTTGTGTTAATACAGGATACAGCCCCTAGAGAATTGTGTATGGTGTCTGTTGTTTTGGAAAAAGAAATAAAAAATGTTTGCCTTGATGGCTTCATAAAAGCAAGAAAATGCATATTTGGCAGACACCAAAACATTCAGTGCAGAGTTAATAATAGTAATTATGATGATGATGATGTTAATATTGACAACGTTCTTGTGGCTAACAAGATAGCAAGAATAGTGAGAAGGATTTTAAAAACTGGGATATGAAATTGCCCTTGGGTTGTAGTACCCATGGTAGTTTAAGGCTTCTATAAAATCTAAGGCCAGTGTAAATGTTACCACAACAATGCTTGTAACTTTGAGTAGAACAGGTGTTCTTCAGTATGTGAATCTATCCATGTACGTTTGAGAATCAGTAAGAGGAATGTAAACAGCTAGTTGTTTTCTTGTCAGATTAAAAAGTCACACATGTGGTAGTATCAATGTATCTATATTAATCGTATGCTGTTTTGTTCAGTAACTGCAAATAGACTGTATTTATTTAAGTAGTGTCCTACAGTGTTCTGCTCTCTGGAGGACTATTCACACTCGATTTGTCAAGTCTTCTCATTGCATGAAACTTATAAGTCATTTGCGATATTGAAAAAGTCTCCATAGATGGTATTTACTCTGTTTTACGAAAAAAGAGCTAAGATCACTTGACACAGTACAGTACCTACAGTGGATGCTGTAGGTTATATTAATGAATTGATTGTGTTGTTTTTGAAACAGGCAGCTCTTCCCAGGCTATTAAGGGGGGATGTGGGGGGGTGGGGCGAAAAAACTACATGAAAATGTTAGAGCTTCTGATCTGCAGATTGCTGTAAGTTAGAACACGTCAGGGAAGTATCATACATGCTTGTCCTGTTCTTATGCTCATTCTTACCTGATGGTTGGGCACAAGAGTCAGACAAGTCTGTTGAATTAAGCTTTTTTGGGACTCAGTGTGGCAATTCTACAGATAGATTTAATACTTTCCACTGGTAATGAACTGGAAATTGAATTCGGAACAGTAAAGTAAAAAAAGCAGATTTAGTTTAGTCTTTATTTTCATAATTATGTGTGGTGACACAGATTTTTTCTGGTGTTTCTTTTCCAGCTTAGAAACTATGTATTTTCTAACATGTTTTCAAGTGTGGCATTTTCTAAAGGTTGTTTTACAGAAAAATTCCATGAGTATAGAAGTGTCAGATAAATGGGGGAATGAGGTGAAAGATATGCAACCTAAACTAAAGAGGGTGAAATTATATCATCTAAAACTTACTATATTGACGTTGTGTATTCTAAAAAATTAGATCTGTTAGTTTATTGTGTAGCTTTCTCTCCTTAAAGAACAAAAAGTAAGTACCTACTTTAGAACGTCAGTATTATGTCCTCCTTGCTCCTTTATTTGCACCAAAGAGTCATGTTAAATGCCAGGAAAGGGGAATGAATGTAATGAAAGGCACAAGAATTAAACTAAATTTAAAAAAGATGTTCATGTAGGAACTTGAGAAGTGACTTCAAAAGCAGTGCTGCAGTGTCCATGAGTATTCATTTTATCCTGGCACATTTGATTCATTTCTGTGGTGCCTTTTAGGAAATTACTCCCACTGAATACTCTGGTTCTGCTACCAATGGTAGATACTTAATTATTTGTCTAAGGGAATAGCTACTGATTCATTAATCCATCAAATTTTGAAGAACATGCATTTTCATTTTAAATAATCGTATTATCTGAGCTATATCTGCACATACAGAGTAGTGACCAAGTAATGGCATTGTCCTCAAGTGATTTCAAAACTTCTAGTGAAAGAGCAAGAAATAAATTGTGAATCAAATCTCCAAGACAGGGATTACAAAAACTATACAGCAATAAAAACAACAATACAAACTATTAAATATATATATAACAGTAGTAATTGACAGAAAAGATACATGGTCATTTTAACTTGCATTTCTAAGTTTTTCAGTAGTAACTTGTTACTTTTCATTGGCATTTGTTGTTTGGATTCGAAATCTGTGGCGAGAATATCTGAACTCTGACCTTCAGAGCCACATTTCTTGATGCTCTGACTTGTATTTCCATTGAACAGTTTGGCTATCTTAGGAAAACTTGGAGCTGACAGTGGTTGGTCTTGCAATTTTGGGAACTGCAAAATAAAGAATTTGAGGCAGGGAAGAGTCCTTTTCTCTCTGCTCTTTGCAAAGGAAATGTTTTATCATAGGTGTTACACATTTGTTTGGGGCTTTTTCTCATAGTTTGCTGAAATGAAATAAGCCTTTGTTTGAAAAGGAGAATGAGTAGGCAGAAGTTCTTTCCCAGTAGCTTACAGACTGTTACTTCTCATCTGTCTGATATTTTAAAGGAAGTTGTAAAAGAGTCATAGAACATATTTTCAGTGAGTGCTTTACTGAAGGGTTAGATTTAGACCTGCTTGTTTGTGTTACTTGAACACCTGTTCTGTCAGGTCATGTCTCCTTTTTTTTCTTTTTTTTTCTTTCTTTCCTCCTTTCTCTTTACTAAAACTCCTTTTCTTTTTCCCTAGTCTGCTTTCAGCTTTGACCAAGTCTATAGAATGGGTTTCTCTGAGAATAATTTGATAAACAGAGTATGAAGAGATGTGATCACTAATCAGTAGAGCTTCTGACAACATGACACGCTCCTACAGGACATTTTTGCATCCCAGGGCTGCTAGTCTGGTGTTGGTGGGTTTCTCCACAACACTCAAGAGAAGCAGCTTCTTAGTTGTATACATCTGATTGCAATGTGCAGTAATTATGAAACTGCATTAATAGAACCACCAGCACCAGCCTAGTTTGTTGGTTTGCTTTATCTTTAAAGAGAAAAGGCATTATTTATTTTTTTTAAACATAGTTTTAAAACTTACCACACCACTCTGTTACAAAACAAACTGAAAAAAAGGTATAAGGACACTTATTTTTTTCTGTTGAGTACTCTTGAATTGATTTATAGAACTTGAGCTGAAGGTAGCAAACTCATGAGGGTCACAGATGTTCAGGATCATAGATACACATGACCTTAACAATGTTTTTGTCAGTATAGTAAATCCTCTTCTGTTTATGATTTTACAGGCAAATCGTACCTGCCCAATTTGTAGAGCTGATGCTTCGGAAGTGCATCGTGATTCAGAATGACCAATCTAAGAGCACAAGTCTGGCTTGGGTATTCCTGGTCACATGTATATATGGACTATCTATTGAACTTACCCATGTGGCTTCCAGCCTACCCTTTACACAAAGGGGTCAATGGACCTTACGTTTGCACTGTGTGACTTAATCAATTACAAAGCTTATAACTAGTCTTCACAGTTACAGGATTGTTATACTAACAGTGTGATTGGAACTCCAAAGATTTTTATTTTTTTTAGCTTAATTTTGTGTGTGCACTAACATTCCCTGGTTTTGTGTGATCATTCTGAGTGTTGCTGCAAGGTTACTGTGGATGTGATCTTTTAGCATGTGCTTTTGTAGAAAAGAAAAAGAAGAAAAAAAAAAGTGGTAGCTCCAAACAATATAGCAATCTACCTTATATAGAGCCTTCAGATACTGTGAGTGGGAATGAATGGTGTGAATGTGTGTTTGCTAGTGAGAGGGTGTGTGAAGTGTGCTTGCGACTGAGCGTGCATGTGTGTTTGAGAACCTATATACCAGCATGTACTGAGAATGTATGTGTGTAGTAATAATTATGCTGCAATGTATAATCTTGTGTGTTATTTAAACAGTACTAGTACTGTACACTGGTTCTTTTCCTTGTGTTTGCAGTTGCACACTGAATGCAACGGGTGCAGCAATTACAAACGTAATATTTCCTTCCCAATGTACTTACAGGTATAAAGACCTTTCTACCTACTATTAAAACAGCTGTTGTGCTTCCCTTGGAGGCTTTAAATGTGTACCACTAAAGAGTGCATTGGTTGTTCAAACATGAGTTACCTTGGGGATTTTAGCATTTGTTACAGACCTGGGATTTTTAAGTAGCTGATTTACAAGTTATTTTATCAATGTAAAGTTGCAATATTGCACAAATCACTTAGCAATATTAACATTTTCAATCGCTAAAATGAGTATCATTACTTTTCTGTTCTCCTTTTAAGTTTTTCTAGCTGGGTTTGCCAGTTAGGTGTTTCTTCCATGAAAGGAAGCAGAAAGGACACTGAAGATCTTGTGCAACAGGTCTTCACTTTGGCTTTTAGTACTTGCTAAGGATGTAATCTTTTAGCTCATAAACGTTGGCTTTAATCATACACATTCTTTGTCATCTACAAGGGAGTTTGTATACAACTAAAATAACTTGTAAAAAGTTACAATTTTATTCCTGCGATTTCATGAATAAAATAAAATTTGTAGCATTTTCTTAGAGAAGTAGAACTTCTATTTTTTTTCCATTGTATCACAGGAGAAGGTGGGGTTTGGTCACTAACTGCCCAATTCAGTTGCCCTGATGCTGCTTCTTGCCCTTCCTGTTTCATGAGTGTAAGATGAAGAAGGAACTCCCTTGTTTTTTGCAATCAAGTTTCCCAAGCTCTGCTATAGGAGATCAAAGGAGCACCTTCCAGAACAATGCTGTGAAACAGGAGGTGATAACCTCTATTCAAGTGCTCTGTTTAATGCTTTATTTGAGCTAGTGAAAAACAATTAGCTTAATTTGTAACATTCAGACTGTTAACATACTCAATATGTTCTAGCAAAATATTTGGGTCTGCATATACCATAGTTACTCAAAGGACGCACTTTTTGCAAAAAAAAAAAAGAATCTTCACCTAAATACAGTGTCATTACTTTGGTTGCAGCAGCACAAGAGGCACAATTAGCAATACTGCTGCAGCTTGCTGCCATTTTCGGCTTTAAGTTTATTTTTTATCATTTCTGATGCTTTTGTATGCTGCTATGCTTTAGTGTCAGCTATAATTTCAAACAGTGTTAGGTGTTATCCATGCTGATTTCCCTCTTTAAGGATTCTACAAACCAGTCACAGCTCTTGGTGCAGACTAAATAAAAGCACAATTTTGCCCTATTTCAGATTTTCTTCCCTCTGTTTAGTTATGCAGGTAATTCTCAAAAACAGTGAGTCAGTCCATACTTATCCATACTTAAGAACGCTAAATAAATAAAAATGCTGTTACATCCATTTCAAAATATTAGAATTTCTCCTCTCTTCCAGTGGAGTTAAAGAATAGGCTTTTCAGAATAACGCCTAGCAGGTTAAATAACATGTAATAAAATATATATTTTTTAAAGTAAAATTATGTTGTTAAAAAGCATATGCCACATATGTCTTGCAAAACTTAAGCTCTTTTATATAGCTACCAAAAAAAATAGAATTATACGTGTACAGATTTAATATAACTAACACTACTGTGCTCAGTGTTCAGTTTGAAGCATGGAAAAAAGGCACTTTTTCTAAGCTAGATACAAATGAACAAGACACATTCTTCTGAAGCCAAGAGAAGGTATTCCTCTTTCTGGAATTGGAGAAATCTTGATGTGTAATGTCCCTTCTTCCCCAGTAAACTCTGTGAAGCAGTGGGAGATCTAGGAGATGGAGGGTCTAAGTTGGTAAAATCCTGGAATTAATTGTTGCACTCTTTCAGTTCATCTCTTCTGGAATGTTTCTTTCGTTTGCATGGGACTCTTGCAGATGTATGTGGACTTGCTGCCTGTGGTTAGTGTGTATCAACAGCACACGTCTATGTTCTGAATCAGACAAGCTACAATCAGGTCCTCTCTGTTGTGGCTGTCAAAGAAAAGGGGATTTCGTGTTCAGCTCTTAACTGCCATGTGTTAGGCATGTTTGTGTGTATTTCCACGCCCTGCCATGGTGCCTGGCAGCACCTGAAGCAAGGCATTTTTTATGTTTGTTGCCTTTCTGCCATCACCTGGCTCTTTCTCCAAAAAAACAGAAGCAACCTGTAATACGTTTTCTTTGTCATATTGGCACTGCTGTGTTTTTTTTGCATAAACTGTTGATTTAATTTGACATTTTAGTGGATATCAAGGCCTGCAGGTAATTCCAGTGTCTCATTTTGTGGCTTTCTTTAAAAAAATGATAATAATAAAATCTTTTCTGTATGCCATTTTGTAAAGGCTCTTGAATGTGATTTCACAGTTGTTAACACATTGTGTAATACCTGGGATGAGATTTACCAACACTTTTAACTATAGAAAACACATTTTTGACTGAGTTATCTTGGGGCCTTTGTAAAAGTTGAGTTTGTTTGGTTTTTCTTTGGTACATTGTTACCTCATGTTGCTACTTGTGTTTCAGGTTTGCTAATGTTTATGAAAGTTTATGGGTTTTGTTGGAATCATATTTTGTTGAGTGTTTTCTTTAAATCATACTTTATTGTATAACGTGTAGTTTTAAATGTATTATAAATACCTGTAACCAAATCATTTGAAGGCTTGATAAATTTTTAACAAAATTTGTACGTTTTTTATGAGAGTTACTAGTAATGCTTTACTAGGTAGTGCAATGAATTTTTATTTTTAATCCCTGTGCCCAATTTTGGAGTTGAGAGAATTGTTCAGTAATAAATGTATGATGTACACTTACACAGTTCTGCCCAGTCCTTTCTCTTAGAAAGAGTTGCATTGTTTCCTTTTGTTGCTTTGCATAGTTCTGTGCATGATCACACAACTTTAGATAGTGGCAACAGACTCGTGCTGTGGAGCATGATAATGCAACACCTTTATTGTAGTGCCTGACTAACTTTCTTAAATCTACCTCATGAGATCATAAGAAAACAATATTTAATGTTGTGTAATGTTTCTGAAAGTGTAAAATAACTGTAATTCGTAGAACACAAAGCCTTGCTTAAAATATCAGCTTTCTAAAAATGCTACTTAGTCAAAGGAAAATAGCAGGGAGGGAGGTGCATCTTTCACATACTGTTGGCACTGTGTCAGCTGAAGTTGTGTTACACTTTGCAGTGCCCTAACGGTGGTAAAAAAATGCTTCCTGAGTGAAGGATGAAACTGGATTATAAGGAGCTGGATTAGCCAGAGTCACACAAGAAGCTGGTGGTAAAACAACAACAAAAACAGAGTTTGGGGGTTTTTTTAATGAGATGATGTAACCTAAGTGGTAACCTAAGGCTTTCATGGCATTTAATAGTGTCATCAATAGCAGGTGTTATTGGTACTCATATTTGAAGGTCCATTGATGCTTCAGGAATCCTTATGCAAAGATTCATATACATGTACTTTGGATTTATAATACTGAATAACAACTAGTTTTGTCTCCCATACACCACGTATTAATTATTAATTACACCACTGAAAATGAACAGTGCTGCCAGTAGTACTTGCTAAGCTAAGATACTTGGCTGCCCAGCTTCAAAGATGATAGGTGAACTTAGAAATATTGGTGGCTGGTTTAGAGCCTATATCAGCAAGATCCTGAGAGTAGAGCAGGGCTTCCTGATAAATATAAGAGAATATTTCAACTTGGAAGGGACCCATAAGGACCATCGAGTCCAAGTCCCTGTTCCTCTCAGGACTACCTGAAACTAAACCATATGTCTAACAGTGCCATCCAGATGTTCTTTGAACTCTGACGGTGAGTAGGACCATGACCACTCCCTGGAGAGACTGTTCCATTGACTGACCACTGTCTTAGGGAAGAATCTTTTCCTAACGCCCAATCTGAACTTCCCCTGTTGCAGCTTCATGCCATTTCCTCATGTCCTGTCCCCGGACAACACAAATGGGAGATCAGCACCTCTCTCTTTGCTGCCTTCCTCGAGGAAGTTGTAGGCTGCCATGAGCTTACCCCTCAGCCTGGTCTTCTCCAGGCTGAACAAGCCATTTGACCTCAGCCACTCCTCCCAATTATTGCCCTGGAGACCTTTCCTCTTCTTGGTTTCCCTTCTCCAGACACATTCCTGTAGCCCAATGTTGTTCTTATACTGAGGTGCTCAAAACTGCACACAGTCCTTGAGCTGGGGCCACACCAGTGCTGTGCAGAGTGGGACAATCACCTCCCTCGACCGGCTGGTTGTGCTGAGCTTGATGCACCCCAGGACATGGCTGGCCCTTTTGGCTGCCAGGGCATGCTGTTAACTTACATACCACCTACCATCAAGCCAAACCCCCAGATACCTTTCTGAAGGGGTGCTTTCCAGTCTCTTGTCCCCCAGGGTTACCACGGGGTTACCCCAGGGTTACCACGGGGTTACCCCAGGGTATTGCCAGGGTTACCCTGTCCCAGGTGGAGAATCTGGCCCCACTCTTGTTAAACCCCATAGGGTTGGTGATGGCCCAGCTCTGTAGCCTATGCAGATCTCTGTGAGGGGGGGGGGAATCACTTCACTCAAGGGAGGCTGCAGCTCTCCCTAATTTTGTATTATCAGCAAACTCACTTAATGTACATTAAATTCCTCCATCCAGATAATTTATAAAAGCATTGAAGAGCACAGGCCCTAAAACTGAGCTGTGCAGAACCTCTCTAGTGAAAAGATCTAGTGAAAACGTCCAGGCAGCAACCAAATCTGTTCTTCATGTGAGCTGTGTTCCAGCAACAAAACAATATT